TTATTTTTGCGTTCTCCATACTATCCACTTTTTCTGATTTGGGGTTGTAATTTATAGTAAACACTTCAATGTTTTGAACCGTTCTATAGTCTATAAGATCTTCAATTACAGCATGCTTGCAAAAACTACATTATATACAGTACAATACACTTTACTGTAAAATGGTTCAAAGACACTAAAGCATTCAATATAAATGCTGTACATGAGTATTTTTTTTGAATACATGTGAAGTTTATCTGTTATGCATTCTAATTTCTCCATTTGTCCTGTGACAGCATCCTTGGCTCTTGTTCGGATCTAATGAAGGTAAGATTGTTTGTGAATATGCTGTAAATTCATTACAGTTTAATTCTAACCTGAAACACATACATGAAAATGATAACTAAAGACTGGTTTTTATTAGAGACTAAAATAGCAGGGCGACACAGTGGCTCAGTGATTAGCACTGTGGCCTCACAGCAAAAAGGTCTCTGGTTCGAGTCCAGTGTTTGTACTGTGGGGGACACCGGAGCACGCGGAGGAAATCCACGCTAACACGGAGAGAACATGCAAACTCCATACAGACACACCAACTGACCCAGCCGGGACTCGAACCAGAGACCTTCTTGCTGTGCGGCATATTTAAAATGTGCTTATATTACCATGTATCAGATCTCTTTATGTTTTTCCCGATGTAAACAGTTGTTGATGATGTAAACCCCATGTGAACGTTTGGTTTTCTCTGTTTTCTTCGCTCAGGCAATTCATATGCTGGTGACGGCGTCGACTGACCTGCAGAGGGACATCGTGGAGAGCGGACGGGTCAGACTGAGATTAGAACAAATAGCCTTCCTGAATTATTAGCCGTCCTGCATATCTTTGTATCTGGTTTCTGTTTAACGGAGAGTAGATTACTTCAACACATTTCTGCACACGATAGTGTTAATAACTCATCTCTAATAACTGATGTCGTTCCTCTTCTCCATGATGGCAGTAAATAATATTAGTCTAGATATTCTTCAAGACACTAGTGTTCAGCTTACAGTGACATGTAAAGGCTTCACTAGGGTAATCAGGGTAAAGTTAGGGTAATTAGGCAAGTCATTGTATAACAGTGGTTTGTTCTGGAGACAATCCAACACTAATATTGCTGAAGGGGTGAATAATATTGACCTTAACATGACTTTAACACTATTAAAAACTGCTTTTATTCTAGCCCAAATAAAACTAATCAGACTTTCTCCAGAAGAACAAATATTAGAGGAAACACTGTGAACAATTCCTGAATCTGTTCAACATCAATTAGTAATTTTGACTTTAACTGTGTGTATTTCCATAAGTCATGCATGTTCCTGAGTCTCAGATGCAGGTTGTGTGTGTGTTTACTGCTGTTTCAGGGCTCAGGCTCCGCTAAAGATTTCTATGCCAAGAACTCACGCTGGACCGAAGGCCTCATTTCAGCTTCTAAGGCGGTGGGATGGGGAGCCACGCAGATGCTGTGAGTGAAAACAGTTAAAAAAACAATATTAAATAAATTAAAAAGTGTATTATTCGTGTACAGAACTGGGATTATTTATGAATGACTGATTCTAAAACCAGGACAAAATTTGGGGTCAGGAATATAATCTTTATGATGATGCATTTTTAAAACTACTTTTAGATTAATTTTATTATAAATGTATGCTAATGTAATCTGAATACTTTTAGATTAAAATACTTATAATACAGATTATACTAACGTAATTCACTAATTTTGGATTATATTTAAATGACTTTTATTACATATTTATGCTAACGTAACCAGATTGCTTTTTGATTGCATTAGATTACTTTTATTGCACATTTATGGTAACAGTGAACACTTTTGAATTAAAATACTTTTATTACAGATTATACTTAAAGTAATTGACTATTTTTAGATTACATTTAGATTACTTATATTGCACATTTATAGAAACGAATTCTGATAAATTTGGATTATATTTAGATTACATTTATTACAGATTTATGGTATAGTAATCTGACTACTTTAAGATTATTTTATTGCACATTTAGAGTAAAGTAATCTGATAACTCTGCATCACATTTGGATTACAGAATTATGGTATGCTAATTTAACTATTGGATTACATTTAGTTCATGTTTATTACAGATTCATGGTTTAACATAATCTGACTACTTTAAGATTACATTTAGATTACTTTTATTGCACATGTTTTTGCACACTTTTACAGCACCTAAGCTTTTCGCTCATCATAGCACACGTGCTGCTGCTGATGTGACAATAAAAGGGATTCGATTTGATTTGATTTGACCTTTAGAGTAATGAAATCTGACAACTTTTAGATTACTGTAAGTAATTAGGAAGGTAATGCCGACTCGAGTATCACAATTACATTTAGATTACTTTTATTACTCATTTATGCTAACATAATCTGATGACTTTCGGACACCATTAGATTACTTGTGTTGCACATTTATAGTTTAGATTACTTTTATTACAGATTTATAGTAATGTAATCTGACTACTTTTGTTTTATGTTTAAATTGCTTTTGTTACACATTTATGCCAATGTAATCTTGTGACTTTTGGATTACATTAGATTACTTGTATTGCACTTTTATGGTATCTGTCTGACTACTTTTGAATTACATTTAGATAATCTTTATAGCAGATTTATGGAAATGAATTCTGATAAATTTGGATTACATTTAGATTACTTTTATTACAGATTTATAGTAACATAATCTGATACTTCTGGATTACATTTGGACTACAGAATTATGGTATGGTAATTTGACTATTGGATTACATTTAATTTATGTTTATTACAGATGTAACGTGCAATAATGGACAGTTAATACTTAACAATACTCACACTAATACGCCTCGTTGTTAGTGTATGGGTTAGGGTATTAACACTGACTAACACTAAATCTTAAATCATTTGCTTAAAATTAAGTGCATTTAGAAAATATCAACATTATAAAAAACAATACGGTGTAATTCAGAGTGATATCGCTGCTACTTTAAATTTTTAATTTAAAAACACTGGAAGTGCAGACAAAAATATAAATAAAAAACAACACCAAGAATCATGAACTTATGCAAGCGCCAGGTTTATTATTAAAAAGAGAGGTATTTAGATAATTGATTAATTATGAACAACTACCTACCTTTGTGTAAATAATGTATAATCATATAATCCATAATCTGATTACAAGTATTTAAAAGATTAGTTTACTCTAATTACTCTTGCTTTTTGAAATCTGATTGTGTAATTATACTACCGTGCTCAGTTTGCACCACCACAATTTATAATATATTTATATATTCTTTATTTTAGTGATTCGGCTGATAAAGTTGTGACCGACAGAGGCAAATATGAGGAGCTGATCGTCTGTTCTCATGAGATCGCAGCCAGTACGGCACAACTGGTAGCTGCTTCAAAGGTACCATACACTAAATCTGTGTGCTTTAAATCCAACTGGTGTGTTTACAAAGCTTTATTGCACATTTATGGTAATGTAATCTGATACTTTTGGATTACATTTAGATTACTTTATTACAGATTTATGATATAGTAACTTGACTACTTATGAATTACATTCTGGTTATTTTATTACAGAATTATGGTAATGTAATCTGACTATTTTTGGATTACATTTAGATTACTTTTAATACAAATTTATGGTAATATCTGACTTCTTTTGGATTACATTTAGATTACTTTTAATACAAATTTATGGTAATGTAATCTGACTACTTTTGGATTACATTTAGATTACTTTTATTACAACATTATGGTAATGTAATCTGACTACTTTTAGATTACATTTAGATTACTTTTATTACAACATTATGCTAACATAATCTGACTTTTGGATTACATTTAGATTACTTTTAATACAAATTTATGCTAATGTTATCTGACTTCTTTTGGATTACATTTAGATTACTTTTATTACAGATTTATGGTAATGTAATCTGACTACATTTGGATTACATTTAGATTACTTTCATTACAAATTTATGGTAATGTAATCTGACTACTTTTGGATTACATTTAGATTACTTTTTATACAAATTTATGCTAATATTATCTGACTACTTTTGGATTACATTTAGATTACTTTTATTACAGATGTATGCTAACATAATATCACTAAATTTAGATTACATTTAGATTACTTTTATTACAAATCTATGCTAATATTATCTGACTACTTTTGGATTACATTTAGATTACTTTCAGTAAAGATTTATGGTAATGTAATCTGACTACTTTTGGATTACATTTAGATTACTTTCATTAAAGATTTATGGTAATGTAATCTGACTACTTTTGGATTACATTTAGATTACTTTCATTACAAATTTATGGTAATGTAATCTGACTACTTTTGGATTACATTTTTATTACCTTTATTACAGATTTATGCTAACATAATTTAACTAATTTTGGATTACATTTAGATTACTTTTGTACCTTTAGTTTACGTTTGTACACAGCAGTTCTTCATTTTACAGGTGAAGGCAGATAGAGGAAACAAGAAGCTTCACACTCTACAGCAGGCGTCTAGACACGTCAACGATATGGCCGCTGTAGTGGTGACGTCTACTAAATCTGGACAAATGCAGATCGAGGACAAGAGTGAGTCTCCAGGCCTCAAACAAACACTGGAATAAGTGCTTTCTAGAGCAGTATTGGGGAAAGTTACTTTAAAAAGTTACAGATTACAATATTGTGTTACTTCTTTAGAAAGTAACTGAATGTGTTACTGACTACATTTGCTGCTTAGTTACTTTTTAATGGAAAGTAATGCATTAGAATCTTATGTTACTTCTTTTAAAACCAGCTAAATGTGTTATATTGAATGATATTTGGCATAAAAGACTAAACATTAATTTTGACTCAATGCAATGTTTTTTGTTGACTTTTCTTACAAACACACCCACCTTATAAATAACAAACACATCTGCACTTACTCCTGACCTCTCTACATAAAGAGTCAGGAGAATAAATGCAAGTCAGTAGATGTGAAAACAAAGTAACTGGCTTTTATTTTAGGAATCAACTATTTTACTAGTAAAGTAATTTTAAAAAAGCAATCATAGCTTGTGTTATTTGTAATTTATTCCCCGCACAATATTCATGAGAACATTTCACAAAGAAACACACTGGATTAAACAAGATTTAAGAAGAAACGCTACAATTTAATTAAAAAATTCATTTTAAAAGCATATTTAAAGTGTAAACAAGTATAGACTTTATAAGAGCCACAGGAACAGCAGAATGCACATTAAGCGTGCTCTTGTTATTTCCTTCACAGACTCCATGGACTTTTCTGGCTTGTCTCTTATAAAACTCAAAACTGAAGAAATGGATACCCAGGTAATTTGTAGTATATGATATGAAAACTGAACAAATACCTGAATAAATATGATATTGAGTGTGCGTGTCTGCAATGTTTATCACAGTGACTGATTTAAGCATGTGTGTGTGTGCAGGTGAGGGTTCTGGAGCTGGAGAAGCAGCTGTGTAGTGAGCGTGTGCGTCTCGGTGAGCTGCGTAAGAAGCATTATGAGATGGGAGGACTCCCACTGGATACCCCAGAGCAGAACACACTCCAGAGCTACACTCCCGCACAGAACACACTCCAGAGCTACACTCCTGCGCAGAACACACTCCACAGCTACACTCCTGCGCAGAACACACTCCACAGCTACACTCCTGCGCAGAACACACTCCACAGCTACACTCCTGCGAAGAACAACTTCGACAGCTCGCTGCCCACCGTCTTCCCTGACCCACCCACCATGGATCTGCCCAGTCTGGACGCTTTCAGCCTGGAGCCGCCTAAACCCAACCCTCCTGCTCCAGAACCAGCCAAACCCAGCTCCAAACGCTCCTCCATCTTCCAGAAGTCTGGCCACATGCTCAGGAACGCGGTGAGTTGTGCTTAATCTGCACTTACCAAGATTATTGTGGTAAACTAAAATTAATGGCAGGTTCACGTGAAAACCCCGACCCTATACCCGAGCCCGTGCACCTTGTGTTAGAGCCGACCCGGTCCGACACATTAACAGTAATTATGATCCCGAGCCCGATTTAAACTCGACTATTTATTTAATACAAAGACTGTTATAACAGACGTTCTCAACTACAACTCTGAGTTATTTGAACTACAGAATTGAGTCTAGATGAGTCTAGACGCTCTCAGAGGTGTGCTCGAAGAAGTGACAGAAGAGGACACTGAAGGCTGACTATCATCCTGTCTGCATACCTGTCAACCCTCCTGTTTAAGCCAGGAAGTTGCTGCGAGTAAAAACAAAAAGATATATATATATATATACATTAGTGCTGTCAATCGTTAAAAAAAAAAATTAATCGCAATTTTTTTTACAATTAATCACGATTAATCGCATTTAAAAGACTGAAACTCGTCATTTTGTTTATTTAAATGTAAAATTAATGTAAACGCAAGACAAAACTATTTAAATTCAAAATATAATTGTTTATTAGAATTTTTGTTTAACTTGTAACACAGATTTCTTCATGTAAACAACAAACCCACAATAAACCATCAACATCCTGCCTGACAGCCATATTTAATACAGAAATAAACACAGGCATGTTAATGACATCTGAATTTCAAAACAATCAATACCGATAAAGAAAACACTGATTTACAAGTTGTATTCTAAGTGGACTGCAAATAAAATACAAAATACAGGCACTGCAGATATGGAAAGTGAAAAATTATAATAATAATAATAATAATAATAAAGTATTGAATACAAACAATTGTACTCATTGTAAAGTTGTATTGCTGTGAGGTGAGAACATTAATTATAAAGTAGAAACAGTTTTGCTCAGTCCTCCTTTACATTCAGCCAGTCGCTAAGACAGTCCAGTCTGTTGACATTATCGGGGGACAATGTGGACCTTTTCTTTTGAATGATGTGAGCTGAGAGTGCAACACAATCTCACGGCAATTCCTAACTTTTTGATTTAGTGGCTATGGACAATTCGTTTAGGCAGGTTTGCACACACACGCATGATCGCGCTCATTGAATTTGCTTACTAAGCGTTCTAAAGTCTGGCTGTATTTATTTCATAAGGATTCTGACACAACAACGTGAAGCAACCGCTTTACAAAAGTTGTGTTTAAGGGGGAAACATGTCAAACTTAACGACACATTGGAGGGCGCATGCTGAAGGGCAGATGAATGCGCTGTCTTTGACAGCTCGCGACATCATCTGGCACTTCATTTACACGGACACCAACACTCTGATTAATATGATTAAGATAACACTCTGATTTTAATATGATTAAGATAATACTCTGATTAAGAGTCGACCATGTAAGCAGCAATTTCTGATTACCTTAAAGGACCCCCGAGTCACGAAATGCAGAGGTTTTTCTTTCCGTTCGCCATGCGGTGTCAAATTACATTAAAATAGAAGTCGAAAGATTAAAAATGAAACACCCGAAATTGCATGAAACTCTGGAGGAAACTCTGGAGAGCCTGGTGATGCGACATTAATTGTTTTATAGACGTGGCAAACATTTGCATTAGTGGTATGAAATAGATTGGGAAAAGTTCTGCTTATCCAGGATTAACCCCAGACTTCCATGTTCCCAGACACTTCCCAGTCTTGCCAAGAAATGCAGTCTCTCTAGTGTGTGCTGGGTCTCTCCGAGGTCTCCTCCCAGAGGAAACTCATTTTCTCAACAAACAGCAAACTCAACAAAGTGAAACAAAATAATAAAAATCTAAATAAATAACCATTATCTGAGTTAACAGGCAGGCATTCTGTGGTGTAACATCTGAGCTGCTGCTGTTTAGAGAACTAACAGTAGATGGCGCCAAACACATTAGCTCCATTTGTCAAATAGAAACATGTTTCATTACACACACCAAGTCTGTCTGAATTTGTTTCATCATTTACGATGCTTTTGTGTGGTTTTGGGCTCAGTGCTTGAACTAATTACTAAAACAATATAAAAACTCATTTAAAATGCAAAACTCTAATACTCTTGGCATTCACAGAGCTAATACACACGTCCAATCAACTTTTTGTTCTTCTCTCCCACAGTTTCGGTGAAAGGACACCAGAAATCTTCAGATCATATTGAACATTATTAATTATTCTGTTCTCCATCATTCTCTCTCTGTGTTCTGCTGTGTGGTGTAAATTATGGATGTAATATAATCATGTTTATTAATTTATAACATTATAAACTACTCATTACGTCATCTTATTGTATTATTATATACATTTTATTGAACATAAACAAGGGTATTTTTCAAAACACTAGAGAGCTGTATCAGGATGTTGATGACGGTTTTATATCTGGGATCTTTTTCAGCTTTTAGTAAATGTAAATGCAGACTGTGGTCAATAAATGATTAGTTAAGCTGTGGAAGTGATGCACTTGTGTTGTTGTTTTAGGCAAACGTGTTTACAACTCTTGCACTGAATTTGTTTAGTTTTTTGGCTAAAGGTCTTAAAATATTTCTTATATTATTATTTTTTAACACTTAAACTCAGACCACATTATTCCGTTTCCTTTTGACTTAATGAAACACACAAATGACAGTGTGATTATTAGAAAATAATTCTGTACATTAATTTAAAGATCACATGTGCCATGTCACTGGTGTTACCTGCATTTTTGGCAATATTAAAGTTTCATTAAATGTTATTTCTTAATTTTCAGTGCATGTAGTCAGAAAAATAATGATAATGCAACAAATCAGAAGGATATTTTGTTTTTAATCAAGTTTTTTAAATGTTTTGGGATGTTAGTTCATTTCTGCAACTATAGATTTGTTCATTTTATTAACACCAACTCTCACAGTAACGTAAAACCATAATTATACCAAGTTTTATTCATATTATTTATTAATTTACCCATTAAATTGTATTTTATTAACGTCTACTCCTACCACAATATTGGTATTAATATTAATAATAATATATATTAATATTAAATAATGATTATACAGAGTATTATTCTTATTATTTCTTAAATTACCCAATAAATTGTAACTTATGATCATCTACCACTACCCCAACCCTAAACCTCACAGTAATGTAGAAACAGTAATTATACTGAGTATTGTTCATATGTTTATCAAATTACCCAACAGTTGTTTTTTATTAACGTCTACCCCTCCCTCAACCATAATGTAAAATCAGTGACTATACAGAGTATTATTCATACTGTTTATTAAATTACCAATTAAACTGTGTTTTATTAGCATGTAACCCTAACCGCAAACCTTACTCTCAAAAGAGTCACAAAATGCACACATGCGCAGTGAGTCCAGCTGTGGACAGGTGTTTGGCTTTCTTTGGCGGCCTCTAGTGGCCAGATCGGGATATTGATGTTATCAGAATCAGAAATGAGCTTCATTCGCCAAGTGACTTGTTTGTGTTACAGGAGCTCAGGGTACATGCATATAAGCACAAGGGGACACACATTTAAATAAGTGGAAAATAAAGTAAACTATAATTATACATACAGCATTTGTTTGCAGTTGTACTGTCAAATCCCTTTGGGACAGATTGTGTGAGTGGTTGAAGATGGAAAATGTAATACCTGCCCGCTCTGACTATCACATTGCTTAATTTGGTAATGTATGAAAAATAAATGGATTGTTTTGTTTTCTGTTGCAATAATATGTTGATTGTAGCAATTTATATTCACAAATGTGGATATTAAAATGTAAAAGTTTGTAAAGTTATTGAGTGTACGCCTAATTTAAGAACATATATGAATATCATGAATCTTTCTACCTATCATTAAATAACTGCTAAAACAACGGTGCTGCACAAATAAAAACAATGTTATTATCATAAGCAGAACTCTTTGACTGACGATATTAGTTTTCATTTATTTTCCTTAGTTTTTCATTCATTCATGTTTCCTTCAGCTAGTCCATTTATTCATCAGAGGTTGCCACAGTGGAATGAACTGCTAACTATTCCAGTATGTTTTACACAGCGGATACCCTTCCAGCTGCAACCCAGTACTGGGAAACACCCATACACTCCATAAACGCAATGTGAATTTGTGATCCCTGAGCTTATGAGGGTTTACATATTTAAAAAGACCAGCCACAATTGAAAAATCACAGTATCTGTGCCCCAATTCTCATGCTGTCCATCCTAAATAGTATTTGAGAGTAGAAATAGCGTGTGTCCAGTAGTATGTTGAAAAGAAGAGATGATCCCAAGGCTTCCACATTCCTGGACCAGGCCGTAGCAGCTGCTGTGATGGTCATGGAGGAGAGGAGAGCCTGAGACTGATTCCTGTGATGCTCCAGGGACAGCCGAGTCTTCGCTGACGTCCTGTGTTCTCCAGCCTCCGGCGCCTAGACTGCAGCTCTCCACAAGACATTTTGCCATACGATAGGAGAAATGGTCGAGCTAACTGAGCCTGGTTTCGTCCAGAGGTTTTTTCCTTCACTCTGGTCCATTGGTGAAATTTGTTCCTTGCCTCTGTCGCCACTTACTTGCAAAGTCCGGGACTTCTAGAGCTGCGCATAACTGAATTACTCTTCAGTGTTTGGACTCTCAGCAGTGAATATTAAAACATATTGAACTGAACTGAGCTAATCTAAACTGAACTGAACTGAACTTAAACTCTGAAAACTGAACTGTTTCAATGTATAATCTTATATGTGAAGCTGCTTTGACACAATCTTGTAAAAGCGCTATACAAATAAAGGTGAATTGAACTGAACTGAAAAGAGAATGCCAAGCTCCCTGGAGGCTCTACTATTATCTGTAGAACATATTGGACGAAATTCAGTTAAAAAGTGTAAACAAACTACAAACATGGCGGACGCGCGAGACCAACCGTCAAGGGTGAAGATGTTTGAATGACTTTTATCTAGCCAACTGGAGAATATTAAATTACATTTTCCGTGTGATTTTTCATCTGCAACAACAATGTGAACTTCTATAAAGAAGTGTTTGGTTAATATCCTCTGAATATATAATTCTGGAAACACCTGAGGAGATTTTTCTTCATGACAGACTCGCGAACGGCAGATAAACCAAATCTACAGTAGGATGACATTAACAATAATGTAATGTAGGTAAATGTAGTTTGTTCCAATGTTTGAATACTCTTTCACACACTCTAAAGTGTATACTTATTAATCCTAAAATGTAACGATACATATTTTTAGGACGTAGACGCGTAAACATTCGGGAATGATCGCGCGCGTTCTCGGGCTAACATCTGCAAGAGTGTGTGCGGGTGCACAAGAGTGTGCGCGCGTGCACCCGCAGAGGCGCGTGCACAAACAAGGATCACTCCAGTGCTTCACAACAGCAGCAGCAATAATACACTAATATCTGTCATCTGTGTAGTATTTTTACAGTAACATCAGCGCGCGGCTGTTGGCAGCTCGAAATCTCATGCATCTGGATTATTCAGCAAACATCAGATCTGCAGAAACATCGCGTGTGTGTGAGGTAAGACGCACACAAGGCTGGATCTGAATTAAACACACTACATGTTTCTCTGTAAGCGTCGTTTTATCCACATTTCTTCAGCAATATCTCATGCAGGAGGATCTTTTCCCAATCCAGATGCTGCCATTTTGTTTGTTTCTCTAACATGGCTCTGATCGCTCGTTTCAGCAGATGCCACTTTAATATAACTGTACGCGACTTTACACCATTCAAATACACATAGTATCGGCTATATTCGATTAATATAAATGATTGTTAATTTATAAATAAGTTAATTGTTTAATATATGTTATATATATCATAAATGAGTCTCAGATCTCTCGTTTACAGTAATATTTTGCTCCTGGATGCTTCATCTGTGCAGATACATTAGATAAAGACAATGCTGATGAATTAATCTAACTGAAACACTGATTACAGTCTAAAAATGACTACACACAGATTCATATGTTAGGGGAAAATATTAAATTGCATTGTAGAAAACAAGAAAATTCAAGATAAACATAAATAATGTATTCAATTTAGGTAAAATGTGTAGTTTATATTTATATATATATATTTGGAATAACTGATTTGAATTTAAATCCAAAATCTTTTTGGTTTGCTGACCAAACTCGTTTTAATCGATATATGCCTGTTTAATAAGACAGATTTGTTTAATTGCAGAACAATATTCAGCTGTGTGGTTCCAGAAGTAAAATCTCCATTCATTTTCTCCATATTGATTTTATTTTTTCTTAGTGGCTGCTAAATCTGACAGATGGGTTTTTAAAACATTATTAGCGGAATTTGTGCATTTTCAGTACCTATGATGCTGTACAGGCAATCCACCAATCAGAGTCACATGCTGCATCCCAGTTCGCCTACTAGACTGTGTCTTTAAGAAAGTGCATACTTTTGAGTGTGTAACAGAGGAGTGTGCAAGCATTGAGACAAACTACTTGCTCATTAGCATACCGTTCTGTTGCTTAGTTACGAGCTGTCAATCATCTCAATGCATCATTCACATTTCTGTCATAATTAATGTCCTATTGTATATCATCATCATCATCAGCAGCAGCAGCAGCAGCAGGTTAATCTGCCGAGTCTGTCATGCTGAGAAATCTCCTCAGTGTTTGGATAATTCTGCATTCAGAAGTGAATGTCCTTTATAGAAGCTCACATTGCTGCTGCAGATGAAATATCACACTGAAAATGTGATTTAAATATTCTCCAGTAGGCTATATATTCATTAATAATCATTCAAACAACTTTACCGAAGCCTCTCTACTTGACATTTGGTCTTGTGCATCCGCCATGTTTGTAGTTTGTTTACACTTTTTACCTGCGTTTGTAGTTCTCAAATTCAGTCAAATGTGCAGTGTATTATGGGTAATATCAGTAATTAGAGTACAGACACTTCTACACTTGACATTTCTACTCTGCAGTTTGCAGCGCACTATTTCTGTTTTCCAATACTATTTAGGATGGATAGTATGCAAATCGGGACGCAGCGACAGATTGCAGAGCTACCAAAATAGATCATAGGCTTTGTGTAATAATTGATATTGTGCTTAGCTTGAAATATATTGCTTTATTTACACAGCAAACATTTCTGAATGAATAGTTTTTCTTTGTGGTTTTTAGTTTGAACGTGTAATTTGTAGTTGATTTTCCTTTATTAAAGTTGGTCGATTGACAGGACTTCTGTAAATGAAGGCTTGTAATGTTGTGTTTGGATGTTTCAGTTCCTAAACCAATAGTTTTGACAAAATCGGTAAAAATCCTGTGGGAAAATGATTCAGGAAATACTTCTGGAGCAAACGCAGCTGAAAGAGTGGGATGATGTCATTTAATAATATTAAGACTTGACTGTTCCACTCATCGCTGTTCATGTTGTCATGTTTATAATTGAGCAATTCCATGCACTAGTCAACTTCACCATTTGTTTGAGCA